TTCACCTGAATTTGAAGAGAATTAGTTCATTTTATGAAGGAAGCACTTAACGACTGATTGGAAAGAGACAAAAATAAAAATTTGTTGAAGTTCTTCATCAGCTTCATCATTACTTCATATCGAATGGCTAACAAAAATCGAACCTGTTCGAAGGAGAACAGTCCATGTTCTTTGCCAACTTCAATGAGATCGTCGAATATCAATTTCTTAACAGTTTCATTCAGACACATCTGCTCGAAAGCGGATCCGTTCAGTTCTGGTTGATTTGAAGCAAGTTTCATCAATTCCTGGGTGAACACAACTTATGACACTAAACCTATTATTATCTCGGTTATCGATGAAAAGCACAACTAAGTGATGCGAAGTAAAATTAAACGCACACACCTCCTCATCCGGGACAATAATGCCAGCAAGCGAACACTTCAAGCTGTCACTATAAACAAATGACTGCGACACATACGGTGAATGTGCATATGCTTCCCGCTTTTATCCGGTCGCTGCTATATATTCACCCTAAAAACATTCCTTCTTCATTCACTAGTTCCATTCGCAGCCCATCGTCCGAAATCACCTGAATGCAGTCAATCGTTCCTGTCAAGAGTTTCTTCGGTTGCTTTTGCGTTTTTGTAGTATCCTTGAATCACAATGCACCCAAACGCTGCTCTCACAAATATTAGCACATCAGGTGCAACTGGTGCTGATCCGATGGTCATTAGCCTAACGTGACCACCAAATTTGTCTCGGGTCTTCTTGAAAACGATTTGATCAAAGAATGAATCCTGTCGGAGAATTCCACTGAAGCGATATTCAAATTAGCGTAATGTTTTGGTGAAGTGTGGTGGATCGACGGTAATATTAGAATATAATTTATTGACTATTATTGAATGATCAGTTACAATTAAGAAACCAAGGAAGCGGCCAATTGATGGCTCTTAGAATAAGGAGGCAGTTGACGATAGTTTCAATACGAATTTCCAATAACGATTAGATCAACCAAGGAGGTTGCCAATTGATGGCTTTTCACACGTTACAGATACTTTCAATTAATTAACAAATGACAATCAATCACAATTAATATTTCAATAACCAAGGAAGTTGCCAATTACTGGCTTCTCACAATTCGATTTGAATAACACAATTTCAGTATAAACACGACCAATCCAAGAGTCGATACGCTTGTAGCAATGAACTTCGTCTCCCCTCTCCGGTCTTCTTCTTGCTTTTTAAGCCAATCCATTGCTCGATCTTTCCCATGCCCCTGCAAGATGGTATTCGTAGATAAGGTCATCTGCTGATGCTTTTAGCTTTCAGATAATGCCTTTGTTTTGACTGTAGGTATGCATTTTTGCTTGGTATGTATCTTTTCATAAACAAGCAACAAAGAGAATGCAACAAATATGCAACAAAGATGTTGCCTTTCTCATGCATTTATCTTTTGATCTGATCCTTTCATTGCATATTTTGGGAATTCGAAAAGAATTCGAAAAGTGCAATATTTACACGTAGCCAAAGCAAAATCGAATAATTGCTGGGTTAAGATAATTCAACATTTGTTATTCAAATATCACAACTGAAGGTAACCTACCATCGTAATTCATTCTTCTTGCACGCCATTGCAACAGTACATAAAAGCCGAGTAAAAACTGATTTGTTCACTTCAGACATTACCTGAAAAAATATACTTGCAGATGTGATTTCTCTTCGAAACACGTCAATTCAGTTGCTCGTATATATGTGCTAATGGTAGACAGCTTATGAGAATATTCTAAGAGCATAGAACAAGAATCCTTTATTCATGACTATACCAAATAAAATGATTCACTTCAAATGTGGGACATCAGAAAAGGCATTCTATAACAGGTAATTATTGTAGCAATCAAAAAGATTAATGCATCACCAAAATAGTAATACACCTCACTGGTGATTTTTAGATTGGCAAATATGTTGAGACAAGTTGTACCAGCGATAACATTTGCGTGCGTTAGTATTACACCTTCCGGAGTGCCCGTAGTGCCTGACGTATAGCACACCGTGGATATATCTTCGGGTTTTGGTAGCTGAAATAGGCATTGACTCAGACTAGATCCATTGCAAAAGAGCTAATCTGAATAAGTTACTCCTATATTGTGATTACATCGTAATTCGGTTTCTCCGGCATTGTTTCACCTACCTTCTCGACTTCACTGAAGCGATGCACTGAGATGCCAGCTGCTTCGGCTCGTACTTTCAGCTCTTCGCTGAATGGCTCGATGACGATAATGTGCTTCAGTGATGGTACTTTCGACGCCTCATCAGCCAACATTGAAGTCTCCGATCGAAATTCATGGAGTTGTTCACAAATTTTAAATGGATTTTTCCTCAGAAGAATTAATTTGTAAAATGAATCTTATCAAGCGTCGCGATATAAAAAGAACTAACTGCATTTACCGTCGAGAAGAATATCGTTTCCAGTCGTGTGAAAGCATAATTGAATGAAGTGAAGATTGTGTACAACGATAAGAGTGTAAAGAATATCAAAATTTCTCATAGTTTGCTTTCTGCTCAACATCACAAATGATAAACTGAACGCCAGTTTGACTGACGATAAATGTTCTCGCCTCTGCTCCCAAAGTGTCGTACAACGAAACAATTATATCACTGTAACTGTATGCAGCCAATTCACTTATAATCCACTGCAACGTATCGCATCATCAACGGCCACTCCAAAACAAACATAAATTTTCACTTCCTCGATTCAGTGAATCACTGTGAGAATTAGTTCATGAAAGAACGTATCTACCTCGAGCCTATTTTTCGAACAGACTGCTATGAAGGTTGCTTGACCTTTTTCATTCCCCAACACCAATAGACCATTTGCGAGATTTTCAGCTCGACGGATCACCTAAAACAAAGGGCTGAAATTGAATGCTGTCATTGATATATTTCGAGTGTTTTACGAGTTGAGTTGAACTGATTTGTATTTCATTGCATCCAGTCCCTCATTTCAGCTTGATTGATACCAAATTTGTGATATCTTCGAAAAAGGACTCCTTCGACCGAATATCCTAAAAATTTGGTGTGAACTCTTAAAATTCTTTCAAGCAGTGCGACTGTATATAATACATCAAGAGCAGTACAAATGTGTATCAAAAATGAAAGAAACTCATAGACTGAGCTTTCAAAGGAGATATCACGTTAAAATCAAGAAGAGCTACACACTGAAAAGTCGTTTGCGGTGTGCGGTACGCTATTCCCTATTTGCTCGTGGATGCCTTCATAACAACAGACATCCGAAAAACGCAAAGTAACTAAATGTTGCATATACACAGATGACGCGCCTTAAAGCACGCAAATGAACACGATTAAAAATTGATAATCGGAAAGCATGCATCGACCTATCAGAATCATTTCAGATTAATTTTAAGGCCGAAACATTGAAAAGTATTCATGTTTCATGTTTACAAATGGATAAATGGCAATAGCGATTTAGTATTGTTGTTGCGAGAAGAATGTTCACTAATAAAAGCAAAAGCAAAATCAATCAACCGACCAGTATCGCTATTATTTGGATACCAATTCTTAAAATTCTTTCAAGCAAAGCGACTGTACACATCAAGAGTAGTACATTGCTGGATATCCGTCGTCAAACAGTTTTCACAAAAATACATTCGATCATCGAGTGAACATTAGGAATCCAAGTCGAGCACTGAAATTAAATCATGAGTTAAAGGGAATAAGTGACATTTCAACGAATGATGAAGTAACGAGGGTGGAATTCTTTTTGCTCATTTTTTTGACCGCTGAATTATTGATCGAGAAAGGATTCCAAAAAGGAAGCTGATTGCTTAATCACGAATTCGAAGAATAAAAGAACTTATTCGGAGACAATAAAAGTGTAATTGCTCACAATAGTGCACGATTAGTGATTAAATAATTGAATAAATAAATAAATAAATAAATCATGTTGATAACGACTAACATTGATTGAACGATTGAAGTAAAAATGAGGCATTTGAGAAGAAACTCCGATGGAACAACCGAACGTCCTGAGATTACTGAGCTCAAGTTAGGGCTGAAAAGTGACCTGAGTAATTACATCAGTACTATCTGTGCCGCACATGCTGAAATTCTGAATCAATTTCTGTTTCAGTTTTATATTTCCCTTGAATAAATGATGGTCTTATCGCTCGATTCGATTAAATTAATTGCTGTCCTATATTGATTTATATCTGCCGTGAACACGATAATATAATACTTCGTTTAATAGATTATTGCTCAAGGGAACAACCATGCTGCCGTTCCTCTTCATTTTAATCTTATGAAACTAACGATTGAATAGAAGAACCGTCAGAGTCTCGCAATTCAGAATATTATACACCTTACCGAGCGATTTTGCTCTGTTGAGGAGATAAAGCTATTTTTCTAAAGCTTTCTTAATTAGCGCAGAAGAGCGCATTCATATTGACATTTGATCACTGTAGATCAATAGATATTATACATTACAACAGAGATAAAGATTTGATATAGTCAAGCCTACCGTCCTCTCAGGTATGACCGGTAACCTATCGACGTTTATACATCGTCCGATCGAGCAGAATCTCTGCATTCTAAGAAATAAAATTTTGCTGAAAGATTCACCCTTTTTGAGGGAATATACCTATTTTTCTGACGCCATAAGGGCTACCACGTTCATACGCTACTTTATACGCTACTTCACCAGTTTGCACAAAAACTCAAATTCTACCTCTCTACTCAT